TGGTTTTTTTGAGACAAGGTCTCACTATGTAGTTGAGACTGACCTGGAACTCACTGTGTAGCCCAGGCTGGTCTCGAACTCACAGCGATCCTTCTGCCTCAGCCTCCTGAGTGCTGGGATTACAGGCATGTGCCACCGTGCCCGGCAAAGGGTTTAAATCTTACAAAGTTCATTTTATAACCACATCAAATGAAATTAGAAATTCATAATAAATCTGAGAAATACTTTAGATTTTTTAAAATTGGTACCTTTTAGATGTACATAATAACATTCATCATAGGGAATTGGTAGCTGTACATGGTATATCTTGCTGCTTTTCCCCCATTCCCCTTCCCTCCCTTCAAGTCCTCGTCCCCTCCTTATTTACAAAAGCTTTATTTCTATTGTTTCCTTTTGTTCTTTTTTTTTCTTGTCCATTCTTTCCACATTCAAACAATTCCTGGGTTAAGTCACAATGTAATAAGGGGGGGGGGAACACCCTTTTTTTTTTTTTTTTTTTTTTTGTTACCTGGGGATTGAACTCAGGACCTTGCGCTTGTGAGGCAGGCAGCAGAACCACTGAGCTAAATCTCAGGGCCCCAAAAAACTTTTGTTCAGATGGGATCCTGGTATGTAGTCTATGCTAGTCTTGAACTCACTATGTAGCCCAGGCTGACCTTGAATTTGTGATCCTCCTATGTCAGCCTTCCTAAGTGCTGGGATCACAGGTGTGTGCCACTATGCCCAGCTAATTAAATATTTTGAATCACATGAAAACAGAATTTGAAGACACTTTTTCAATAAATTTTATTCCATCCCCCCTCAAGCCCCCTCACCTCCCTATGTACAAAAGCTTTGTTTCCATTTTTTCCTTCTATTTTCACTTTTTTCTTGTGCTTGTCTTCCTTTCTCCCTCCTCCCTTATTCCCCTTCCCATTTGAACACTTTCTTCCCATTTCTCAACATCCATTATATATTTCAGTGCTTATTTCCACATTCAGTTTATCACACCAGAAAAACTGGTATTTAAACGTGTGTCCAATTTATTTCACTTAAGATTATGGTCTCAAGGTCCATCCATTTAGCTGTAACTCATTTAAAATGGCTGTATTAGAAAAGGTTTCAGAGCAATAACCTAAGATTCCACTTTAATATACTAGACAAGAGAGTATACTAAGCTCAAGAAAGAAGAAATTGATTAGTGAAAAATCTGACAGAAGCTGGGTATGGTGTACACTGGTAATTTTAGCATCCAAGAGGCAGAAGCAGGAGGATTGCCCAGAGTTTGAGGTCAAACAACTGCATAGGAAAATCCTGCCTCTGGGGAAAAAAGAAAAAAAACAATTTACAAAAGAAAAGGTGGTTCTCTGAAGTGACTAATGAAATTCCAAATTTCATGAAATTGTCAGCTAGACTACCTTCCAGGTCTCTGTCCTGTTAGAAACCAGGCTGAGTAGCAGGAGGGATGCAGCTGGGCTGGCCAGTGAAGATTCATTTGTATTTACGGTCTCCATCCCTCACATTACCACATGAGCTCTTCCTGTGAGATCAGCAGTGGCCTTAGATTCTCACAGGTGTGCAAATCCTACTGTGAACTGTGACCGTTAGGGGATCTAGATTGCTTGCTACTTACAAGAATCTAATGCCTGATGATCTGAAGTGGTGATGCTAGCCCTGGGGAGCAGCTGCAAATACAGATGAACAGCACAGATTTCAGTGCATAGTGACAATAATCAGCTACAGACACAAAAAACTTACTGCTGAGTAGCAAGTGATAGTTTGTAACTGGTGGCAAACTTTATAGTAGCAAGTGACATGAGGTACTCCATTTATTTACCACCTCTGTACTTCTCCATAGTACACACCAGTTTCAGCCCCAGTTCTGATAAGCCCACAAGCCTACCCTAGCCAAAATGAATAGAAACCAAACATCACAGGAGATTCTTTTGAAAGGGGCAAGACCTAGTGATAAGACATTGGAAGACTAGAACTGCCAACAAAATCAAAGTGCATCTAGCCTGGGCTACACAGTGAAGTTCCAGGTCAGTCTCAACTGCATAGTGAGACCCTGTCTCTAAAAACAAAAGTGCATCTAAGAGAAATACTGAGTCCTTAAATTATAGATTCATTGCAATATTCATATTCTCCAAGTATACTCTGTATGTTATGTGGTGAGTGGCTAGCCAATGAAGCCATGAAACTTTGAAAACTGCTTTGAGGGCCAGTAATTTAGCTCTGGTTCCGCCACCTGCCTCACAAGCTCAAGGACCCAAGTTTGATTCCAGGTACCAAAAAAAAAAAAAAAAAAAAAAAAAAAAAAAAAAAAAAAAAACTACTTTGCTACTTGTAAACTGAGTACCCTGCAATAAAGGATATTTTGGGAGTTTTTCTGAAAGAAGAAAATGTGAGCTCAAAGGAAAGCATTTACTGAACACTACTTCATCAAACGTGTCAGCACTGAGAAAGTTACTCTTAATGGCTGACTGCAGCACTGAGGCTAGGAAGCCTTTTACTATGGGGAAAAAGTAGCTCCTCCCTGGTAAGGACCTTTGTTAATGAACTTTTAGGAGAGGCTGCAGCTCGAAGGGTAGCATGTGTTCCTCTTGGCCAGCACCCTAAGTAGATGAATGGATGAAATAAAACACGTGGGGGCAAAATTGTTAGTAGTAGCGAATTACTGGTACACAGTCCAGGTAGATGAGTC